AGGCCAGGCATTTTCCCATCTCATTTCATTTCGTGGGAGTGTCGATGAGGCAAAGTTATATTTGCTATAAAATTCTACTACCTGCTGGGGCGTTGCTAAGGCCTAGACGAGATCGAATCTGCAGTCCACTGGTGCCTGGATGAGAACAACTTTTGGTAAAGCAAAGCTATGTTAGATTCAATGGAAAAAATTAGCTCTACTCATATCATTGTGGGAAAATTCAACTATCAGTCCTTCGTCACCTTAAATGAAATAGGATGAATACATCTGCTATATATGATCTGCTGGTATTCTCGAAAACCCACTCAATAATAAAAAAGTTATTAGAAAGCAAGTCTAAGTGAAATGCAATGTTATGATGATAAATAGTCTGAACTCTTTTATGAATCTTACCCCTTTATTATTTCAGGCCGCTTTTCTGATTATTTTATTGCATTTATATCCACTGACTCTGAACAAAGTGTTTTCTCGATCAAACTAGCAACGAACCTCTTTATTTTCATAGAAGTTGTTTGACCAAGTTGCGAATCCAAGGTCAAACAACTTCTACATAACGAGAGGAGACCGCGACCATACAAAAGGCCACACCATCCCGGCCTTCATACATTTTCGTCTTCACTTCTGCGCTCATTTAACGTTGAATTCTCACTAAAAATATTGAGTGTAGAATAAATGTTGGCTACCTTCTTCCATATTCCTTGGATGACTGTCCTTTCTGCTTATCCATCTGCCGCCAAGGCAATTTGGCTAGCCTGTCCTGCTGCCATTTTTACTGCTTGTCCTGTTGGAAGCAGTACATTTCGACGCAACTCCTCGAGAGGAATCGGAGTGAGCGTATTTCCTGCCCGACACTCAACTGTCAGCACATTCTCTCCGACGAGGGCGTCTTCAAACTGGCTTGCGATGACGCCCACCTCACGCAGGCATTCCGGCGACTGGTCACCAACAACTTCGTGCAGAACCACCGTCATTTGACCTGGTGCCCAGGCGCCAACTGCGACCACGCCGCTCGGCTGCCGGCCGGTTGTCTGGTCGAGCCGCGTCTGGCCATTTGTCCCCTCTGCTCGGAGCGCTTTTGCTCGGCCTGCGGCGAGGCCTGGCACGAGCCGATCACCTGCGACCTGTTGCGTCAATGGCACTCTCGGATTTATGACGGCACCAGCAGCAACGCCTGGATTTTGCTAAACACTCAGGCCTGTCCCAAGTGCCATGTGAAGATAGAGAAGAACGGCGGTTGCAACCATATGGTCTGCCAAACGTCGTCTTGTCAGTACAGCTTCTGTTGGATCTGTTTGAAAGAGTGGGATTTGGGCTGTGGTGGCTGTCCGGACAAAACTGTACAATTCAACTTTCCCGAAATGAAGATTTACATGAACTATTTCAAGGCATACACAAAGCAGGCGGATTTGTTGAAGGAGGAGTTGAAACTGGTAGATTGCCTCCAGGAGCAGAGACCTGATATGCTCGAGCAGAGATTCGGCAGTGCCAATAAAGATCTCCTTCAGCAGATTTTTCTTACACTCCTCTGCTGTAGGCGTACCCTCATGTACACACACGCATTTTCGTACTTCTTGAAAAAGGACAACGTTTCCGAAATCTTCGAATTGAACCTGACCAGCTTGGAGCTTGGTCTTGACAAACTGGCATTCTTCCTGCACGATGAATATAACGTCTCGTTTTCCAATATTTACCTACAGAATATACGGGACCAAATCAAGTTCTGTGAGCTGCGGCGACAGATCCTGATCGCCTACGTGAAAGAGGGCTATGACGTTGGGATGTGGAAATTCCAGTATGCTCATTGATAGTCACCTGAGGTGGGCATTTTATTTGCTTTTCCTTTCCCTTTGATTCCTTCTGGTCTACTGTTGTATTTCTCCCGCCTCTTCGGTCTTGTACATTTCAACCAATAAATTACTGAAGTCTACTTTTTATCCAGGCTGAAAGACTACTCGACCATAGTATTCCACCACTAACCTTATTCTATTTCTGCACATATGGATATTTGCTCGTGCCTACACTGTCATGTATTGACCGGTTGCTATGACATTACTTTTCGCGTCTCCACTCGAGGCGACTGCCAGTCTCAGTGTTCGGGCCGGACTCTCCTGCTAGGCAGGACTGGCCAGTCGCCTCAACACATGACTTTGCGAACAGCCGAACATGAAGCTGGTTTTCTGCGTGTTTCTGCTGTTGCCTCACTGGGACGAATGGGCGCTGACGAGGCATCATCGTCTGGCACCAGATCTGGTCCAGTCTAATCCAGTTTGGCCTTGATTTGAGCTTCTATACTGGCGATTAAGATGGAAATCTGTTTTGAAGTCGGGATGTAGCCGGCCTGCGATACGCCTTTGCTGCTTCATTCACATGCAGGCCGGATTCTTTGATAAGCATCATCCACTTCCTCATCATCCTGCCGCTGAAACGGCTATAGTAAAGATCCTCAGGAGACTGTCTATTGTCCTATTCATTACCGATGCTTCGGCGTCACATAATAGCTCTGTAGAAAACCATATTTCTTTGCTGATCTGGCAAGTGGAAGGGTTTCCAAGAATCCCTTTGTAGGTTCATGTTAGTGTACTCTGAATTTTGTGTGAATAGATCTCATCGTTGAACGAAAGAGGAGTTGGGAGCGGCGAATCGTTCGAAAAGTCCACGGCAATCTGTACTGCGACGCCAAGACAAAGTGCTCGCAAGACGCTATGCTTAGAACGCTTTTGAACAAGTTATTCTTCACAGCTCCATGTCAAGTCTCTCTTGGTTATCGGCGAGGCTATGCTCAATCAGTTAAGCCCACTTTTTCCAACGAAGCAAGATGGACCATTTTCGTATGCTGTAACAAGAGAATTGATAGTAAATCTAGTTACATTGAAGGGAAAGGAGACTTTAACTTCGCAGGGGCTTTCCAATCGAGGCTGGACTGCAACTAAAAATAGAAGGAAGCATGTTTTTCTCCTAGCCCTAACGACCTGGGTCCAAGTACATCCTGCAATAATGTTGGTACATTGAGGTAAAGTTAAAGCCGTAGTCGAGGCTGAATAAGGCAACGGCTTGTTTAGGTGCATTGCGCATTTAATTTCAATGCAAAATAAAACTTTACCTTGATTAGAAATATCATTTGTTCCTATAGACAAAATACAGATTCTCGATAGCCATGATCAAAAATTACTACTTCATAAATGACTATATTTACTCTTAATCAGGTGATGAAAAATGATGGTAATTTTTTCCAAAAATGATTTGAGTGGGCCTCGCTTTTCCTATGAATTTCACCAAGCCTTGCCTCCCAAGAGATATTGTGATTGCGATGGGACTGCAGTTTCTACCTCGCCTCAATCTCATCAGTACCCACAACCGGAATCGAATCCGGTTTATTGTAGTGTAGCGCATAATTTCAAC